AGCCATGGTTAACCTCATATATCCTGAATTTCGCTGATACCTATCATGCGTTCCGTTCGACTGGAAGTCTCGCGTCGTGTCTACGCTCGATGCAAGTGTCAACCCGGGCTGATGATGGCTTAGAGACCCGCGGAAGAACTCGGAAAACACATCAAAGGTCTCCGGGACAGCCGCGTCGAGATTCATAGGGAATCTCGAAGGGCTTAGTTAGCATCTCATCCATGGGGTACACGAATCTGATCATCTGTATCCCTCAAGGACGGGCAAGCCCGATCCGGCCGGCTTGCCGAAATCACGGGAATTCGCCTAGTCGACGCACCAGTCCTGGTCGATCCCTAAGAAACTGTCGAAGGTGAGCCGGAGCCGCCGTAGAGTCGGCAATGAAATACCAGGGCGATGACGGTATTCCTCTCGGGAGGCGTATCCAGTCCGCAAATCAAAGATATCCCGGAACTCCGTAGTGTCTCCAATAAGAGAGTATTTATTTTTCGAATGAAGCTTTCGCGATCGATGGCGCTTCTGGATCCTCCCTGTCAGCGGAGACAGACGAAGATGTTATCCGAATTTCGAGGGAGCACTAGAAAAACTTCCCCAGATCGAACGAAGCGCGGCTCTCGGCCAAATATTGAGGGACATAGTGCATACACGAGGCGAGTACGATCGCTCCGGACATCAGCGCTAAAGCTTCCATGAGAATGTTTTTCATGCTTGTGATCTTGGAGCTTTTGTCAGGGGCTGGGTTCGCAGGGTCGGCGGCTCGTTTTGCGCAATCGAGAATTCCGTCGCCGTCGATATCAGATCTCTCGACTGGATCTCCACCGCGACGAAATTCTCGTGGCGAGCCCGAGACATTCTCCGCGACGGGATCCGCCGGCTGGAGTCCCTCGGGAAAACTCGCGACACCTGGGGGCTGCGTTGGAGTCGAAGGGTTATTCTCCAACCAGGCGGAGACAAAGTTTATCGTTTCTTCAACATTCCTTGCCGGCTCCGCAGGGAGAATTGGCGAACAGCGGCTGCTCGATCGGAGAGTCCCTTCAGTGTAGTCACCACAAGCGTGCTCATGGACGTTTTCCTCGTCGTGCCGATGGCTCCCGGAGCTGTACGCACTCGACGTGGCGTTAGAAACAATCGAAGGTGCAAGATCCGGTTCGGAAGCGTCACTCAACTCCTCGTAGAGATCCGCTTCATTTTCGCTGCTTGCAGTAGTCCCAGAGCTCCCGCTTCCGGTGGTGAGCCGGACTCCCCTCTCAGCGACCCCAGGCTCCGGGAGGAAGTCCTTGAAGGCATTTTCATCAGCGTCGGACACCGTAGAGGCGGAACTCTGCCGGCTTTGAAAAACGTTCCTTCGACAATCGAGCGGGCTCTCGGGCGGTTGAAACGTCGGCGTTGGTGTCACAGGTGCATGGGGGTTCGAGTTTTCCCATTGCTGAATTTCCGAAACGGGTTTGAAGGTAGATCCCGAGTACTCGGCTAGTTCTTCGGTGAGAGACTTCTTCGGCGGAGCTCGGAAATGAGGGTCGCACCGTGCCACTGAATCTCTTGATCGGAGTGGCTCGCCGCCTTCTCCCGATTGTGACGCCGGAAGGACACCACGGATTGGCTTAATGATTCCGCGGCACCGTTTCTTCTCGTATGAGTTTTCCTCTCTGAACACCGGCGAGACATTTCTCCGAGAAGCCTTCTCTTCAGCGGAGTTGAAGTCATGATATCCTCCATTTTCGTCCGGGGGAGCGCTGCCGCCAGAGAGGCAGTATCTGTACTCGTTCCTTCCATGGGAAAAAAAGGAATCCGACCTATCGTGGGGATTCATTAGCGATCGAGAGCGCTCGGCGTGCGTCGCGGTACCTGGATCACTTTCCAAGGCTGATCCTCCAGTAACCTTGGTCCGCGATTCCGGCACAAGGGGGACCCACATCGCAGAAACTGGAGATCGAATAGATCTCGCGGAACGCCTCTGAGGCAGATTCACTTCTTCGACGCAGCTCGTCCTCAGAGGAAAGCGTGGGACTTCATTATTGTCGACCATCGCATCACATCGGGCGGAATGGGAGATGAGAATGTCTGCGGCAAACTGCATATTTAGAGATTTTCACGCGAATCTTTCCTTTCTATGGAACTCCTGACTTTGATTCGGAGGAACAGAATTGAACAGTCCGACGCTACCGATTTCTCTATCCGGAAGATCGATTACGAGAGGATCGGAATCGAGATCATGAAACTGATAGCATCATTCATCAATCCGATTGGCTGACGTGATGCGGAGCCGAAGTCTTTCCCATGGAGGGAATGGGAATCTCTCTGACGCTCTCTGAGATTGCCCACCGCACCCCGCCGCGCCCACCGAACCCCGCCGTGCCCCACGAAAATGCGCCCTTGGGCTTCTTATGGAGCTTCGCAGGTCGAGATAGAGGAATTCTGGTCGAAGCCTTACCATACTCTGGAGACCTTTTTTCTGTCAGCTCTGAATAACAAGTGCGATGGGATCGCCCCCTCCAACCCGCTCCCGCTGAAACGCACTCTTTGTAAATAAATGATCCAGAATTCCCTCTCCGGAAGAACATGAGAATGCGACAATGACGAGAACCATGAGAATGTCATGGTGAATGAAGCACAACTAAACGGCGCGACCGAAAGCGGCCCTTCAGAGTGTCAGAGTAATTTTTCCAGTGTCCAATAAAATGATTCTTTTATGCTAGCGAAAAATCCTGATGTCCGAGCTCTTAAGGATGGGGAGTGAATTCGATACAGTTCTTGCAGATCCCTCGCAAGCGACAATATTTATTTGCTGTATGTATCTCGCACGATTTCCTTGCGAATTGAGCTATAAGAGAGCCAAAAGATAATTCGATGTTTCCAGCGAAGCACGAAATCTTGGGGATTCCGAGCGATGCATTATCAAAGCTCATATTTGCATCGAGGAGCGAGAGGCAATCGTTCTTCTTCCGCACCATCCCTGAATCGGTACTTCTGCGGGGAACCGGTCCCTATGCACGATTAGACCGAGTATCGTCGTTCTGGCAGGGTCCGACCTATAATCAGCTCATCGTTCTCGACACTCCAGATCGTACTGTGCTCGACGTAGTCCATCTTCAGGAAGCGGACTGCCGCGTCAACTTCGAAGAATTGTTCGTTACTCAGAGACAGATTCGATATTTCAGTCGAGCGCAAATCCTCTGAGTTCGAGACCTCGTCGCTCACCCGGCAAGGAGGACGATCTCTAATTGACTCAACGGTCAGTAGATCGAAAATAGCACTCTGCGTCGTCGCAGCGCCTGAAGCGCTCGAGACTCCACGGCTGGCAGTAGGCAGTGGGAGCCCGGGATTCCCACTATGGTCTTCCGTCGAAGTTACGTCGGTAGTTGCTCGTGATACGATTTGTTTCGTAGGCAGAATCTGACACTGTCCACCAGCGGAGTCAGGTCGCCTCACATGTTTCTTCCGAAGATGAGTTCCGAGATGCTGCTGTTTGGCGTACGCCCTTCCGCAATGTCCACATACAAAAGGGGGCCCGAGTTTCGCCGCTGGAGGAGCGCCACTCGGATGGGTTTTCGCTTGGTTGGCCACCACGGGAGGGGTGATCGGTGAGTTCCTCTGGGGAACACGGCCAGTGATGAACTTCTCTGATTTGTCGACCCTCCGACGTTTGACTCGAGGTGAATGCCCACATGAGTCGACCATTTGAACAATGGCAACGCTTAAGGTGTTAGGAAGCGCGGCAGAGGCGCTCCTGGTCCGATTTTCCGAAGATGCACCGGAGATATCCATACTGATCTCTGGAAAATCACGAGGCTTCTAGCAGAATCTTCGAAAATTGTTGCCCGAAGGTGCTGGGTTTCTCAGTACCTCACTCGAAGAGAATATATACCCAGCTAAGGATGTACCCTCGCTCATACACTCCGCCCTCTCCTATTGAAAATCGCGATAATGATTTTCGAGGGAGAGAGCTTGCGAGAAACCCCGAGCTGTCTACTGAGAATTCGAGTCGATTTCGGATTCCATTGAAAGACCCCACTCTTTCGGACATCGCTTGGAATGCCGAACTTCTGAGTGGGTCCAGACACGAGAATTTCATCGTCCGAAGCGTGAGCCGGCATTGATGAGAGCAAGAGCTGAATTCTCACAGACGGGTGTTCTCGTCGAAATCCATGGGTTCACAGGGTGGGTGAAATTTTACGACTACATCGAGCACCGTCGAAACGAATCCTCAGCAGAACAAGCTTTGTGGCTGGCTGGCTATAGAGATAATAATGGAAACCTTTCGTTACGGCGAGCTTTCATTACAACGAACTCATTTCTTCAGTCCCGCGAGCTTCGTTTTAACGGGATTTCACTATTATTATCCAAGCGATGACCGTTTCCTCCGCAAGAAACCGCCCATATTGGAGTTTTCTCCGTCGACGGCAGATTAACAACTCTGTGAAGCTATTCCTCCAACAGCAATTCTTCCCGTAACCTATGGTTTTTCCACAGGCGAATCGAGCTTGACAATCATCGAGCTGCGGCTCCTCTGACTCCGACTCCGTCGTGCCCATGGTTTTCCGAGGCTTCGTCATGTCCTATCACACTCACGAGGTCTCTAGCTCACAAAAGCAGAGTGATTCTCGTATGAGATCGCTCAGGAGCTTGAGAGCCTCTCCTTCATTACTGCAAGGCTCGGGGAAATGTAGGGCGGATCAAAAGTCTTGTATCGGTTACCTAGAGAATTTCTCGATGGTTCCATTGCGAATAAGGATTAATCAATCGAATGCTCGATCATTAGAGAAGTAATTCATGGACCAAAGCAGGGCTCCTCGGCTGGGATCTCGCATCAGGAATATCCGTGAATTCAGCGACAAACCTCACGGTTGCCCCGGGGATAGGTTCGGAAGTCCCCATCGATCATTGGAGAGATTTCGAAATAAGACTCGCCCTTCAAGATCGCAACGGGCTCCTTCGGAGGGCGCACGGTCTCGCTTTCGGATGAGGAGAGAGAATCGGTCGAGAGAGAGAAACGTTCTGCGGTGATTTCTCATATTCATTTGAGATGCATTTATTCTTTGAGAGCTTAGAAGACTTATATGACATGTTATGCGTATTGGTGAACTTATTTGCAAGGATTATGGAGATGAGTCAGCAAAAACAAACAGGGACTGTGTTCCGCCGCGAACTTCCTGTGAAGATGCGTGTATGTGTGCTCCCGGGAACAGAAGTAAAATGACAGCCCGACTAGTAATGGTAGCTTGCCCCATATGCTTGCTGTTGTCCATTCCAGCCCTGGCTAGCGTTGTAGGCTTGTCCGTAACCCTGGAAGTAGGAGGAAGAGAATCACAATTCGCTCACTTCCGAGCTCCTCAATGAGGACAGATTCATCTCACGTGTTTTCCTTTCTTCTCCAGGGGCTTCTTGAGCTCTCAGGGAGGGGCTCCCTCCATCCTGATCTACGTATGTATATTCACCTGCTGTCCCCATTGTTGCTGACTGTAAGCCTGTGCACTGTAAGCGCTCTGTCCATTGCGGTCATAGTAAGCCATCGAATACTCCTCGGCTTTCTTTTTCGCGTCGGGTCCGGATCCGTTCTCGTCCGTCGGACGTTTCCTGTCCCTTTCTTTTTCGACCAGCTGTGGAATTAGGGGCGTTTAATACGACTGAGACGTGAGATGGATCCATTTTCCCCTCGTCGGAGATTTTTCTCTTCGCGCTTCACTCACCTTCAACATTTTCGAGTATTCCTCCAGGGCCTGTTGAGCCTGATCGACTTCATCGGTCATTTCCTCGTAGTATTCCAGTCGTCTCTGGAGAATATCCAGTTTCTTCGCTTGAGGGATCTCCGTCGCCTTCAGAGCGGTTTTGAATGTTTCGCTGATGAGCACCGTATTCTCTGATTTAATCGCCAAGTCGATCATCGCCAGGTAGACGCGGCAATTTTCCTGAAAACATCGAACGATGTAGGTTATTACTTATTTATAGCTATAATTATTAATATTAAACAATTAAATAGGTCGTTCACTCACGGGCTCTCTCTGACTGGCTTCTTTGAGAATCTCGATCGCCGTCACGATGTCTCCCTTGGTCTGAACGAGGAATCTCGCGTATTTGATGGCGAAATGGTTTGCTACTTTTGGTGTTTCAGCTGATGCCGCGTAACTTTTATACAGCTCTTCGACCTTGTCGGCTCTCCCGAATCGACGATGGATGTTCAAGCGTCGCATGGCGAAGACGACGCAGCTGCCGAGCCTTTCCTCCATGGGCTGCAGAAGATCTTCGACGGAACCTTCAGCCAGGGCGCCTTCGCGTTCTGCATGAGGCCACAGTATTAGTTTTTCTCGGATTCGGAATAAGCCAAGTTCATGAAACATGTACCAAAGAAGATCTCGGTCCGGCTCAGATAACGGAAGTGCACTCGTTCTCCGTGATGTGGTACAAGAACTACTGACCTTTTTTCTCGACGAACGAGAGCCAAGACATATTGATGATCGGTTTCTTTGGGAGGTGGACCTCGCAGGCTCTCTTGTACAGAGCCATAACCGCCTCGATCGAATCTCCCGCCGATTCAACCCAGTTGATATACTGTGAAGCAGAGCGACGATCTCAGACACAGAATTTCGTTGGAACGGAAGATACAGGCAAGGCCTCTCGGATGATAAAAAAAATCAAGCACTGAAGAGGGGTTTCAAGTTCTGTCTCCTACCTTGATCCACATGTCTTCGTACAGGGCACAAGCGATCAGACATCGCTCGAATAGAAGCCTGATGCGCTTCTCATCGCCCATTTCGATTTCCAGATCGAGGTAATCTTTCCAGTTCTTGATCTGTGTCTTCTCCAACGGTTTCACGTGGAAATAGGGCCGTTTGATCTGTGGAGAAAAGATTGTGAGTCCGATGGCGGCTTTTTTGCCAAGCGTTGACCCCGTCGTCAGTGGCATCGCGTCGTCCATGTTCACATTGTTACACTCTATACCGCGCAAGTAGCTACGGGGCGCAGGGCCACAATATATACAGGTCGTAGTAGATACACATGATTGATACAGATCGACTTGCGACCGACTCACCCTTCTGGGTCGGATTCTCTCAGGCCTGCTGAGACTCCCGAAGCTCCTCTAGCCATGACAGCCTAGTGACCACATTTCTACCTATTGCATATAGACAACCGTACGTGACAAAATGATACACTTGCACAAGTAAGCCTAGGATATACAGCTTCGAGGAATATGTTGATAATGTACAGTTGCAAACTAATAGTGAACCAATTTGTCTCGTTTGGCAAAAACCGACACGACCATGAATTTCTGAGCGGCATTTTATCGAGATTTTGGTGACCTTCTACCAGAGAGTCGTAGGATTCGATTGGCTGAAAGAGCATTGGTTATGCCGCTTGTCGAATCTGAATATAACTGTGGGGAGATCGTTAACCATATAAAACGACGCAAATATGCCACGGAAATACTCCCTCAAACAATCATCCAATCAATCATCATCTCAATATTCATATTATCGTCATAGACTGCGTCATCGCTCCGACGACGTGCTGTCGTATTCAGTCTTGAAGAGCTTTCGGCAACGAAATGAATGAATGGACAAATCGAAGTCAAATCATTCGACCCGTGAAGCAACGATGGTATCAAATGTCTAACTCAGGCCTCAACGCAACGCAATGGTGGCACGAAAATGTCTGTGACCGAAAACCCGAGCCGAGAGCGCCTCTCCGAACGCCGCTTCTGATTGTCTCGAAATCTAATCTAGTAAAACGAGGACTATCACGTAACTGTAGCCTATCTAACTTACGCCTTCTTCGAAAGTCCAGCGCGTGGTGCAGGCTTCCTCATTCTTTTTGTACACATTCTTCCGACGTTGGATCGCTTCACCTTTGATGAACGTGGGCTCGTCCTGTAGAGAAAAGAATATTAGATGAGCAGGGGATAGAATGCGCTTCGCAGGCATAAGGCATCGATGGGTTGGCGATATGCCTATTCCGCACCGACTGGAAGTCGGGCATTGAGAGCTTACGCAAGGGAGCCCGATTCCCCCGCTCGATCGAGAACCAACACGGAATGCTAGCGAGAGGAACTGAAGGAATAATAGTCATAGAGAGAGAGAGGGAAGACTATAAGGATGGAAGATGGAGCGAACAGGCCGAAACAAACAATTACGGGGTCGGAGAGAATTCGCGAGCGAGAACTCAGCCGTAAATTTTCTGTGCTGGGCGACCGCGACCGCTCCCCAAGGATTCTCGATAGTAGCATCATCGTTGATAACGAGCCGAAGTTCTCTAACCTCGTCCGTGGCTCCTTCACCCTTCCGTTGTTCGTATAGCTGTTTCCATTCCTCGATCTCTTCTTCGCCAAGAGTCTCATGGAGCGGATATTTCTCCAACAAGCCTTGGAATCTGAAAAAGAGTAGGTCTTTGAATGCACCGTCCAATGATCAAAGACACTTTCCGAGAAACTCCCACAGTCTTCACAGGGATCTCCGGATCGAGGAGCTCCATGGATGAAGCTTGATATCCTAGGCAAGACTTCTCTGCCGCAGTATTCGTGGACTTCATTTGCCGCAAGCAATGAAGCTATCCATCACTTACTTTTCGAAATGTTGGCTATAGAGCTGAGTTGGCGTTGAGATCAGTCTGTCATAGATAGCGGTGACGTTCACGAGCTGCTGTTGTTCCGTTTCCCAAGCTATCCATGAATCCCAGAGTCGGTCAGAGCGGAACTCCAATCCGGCGACCTACGGAATATAGGTTCGTATTCGACAAATTGCATCGTCAGGACATCAAGCGGGAGGACGATCCCGATGTGATCATGAGAGCAAATGAGGAGGAATCATCATGAGGACGAGACATAACTTGTGAGAACTTACATCGATCGATCGCTTGTATAAATCCCTGAGCTGTTCGACCTCGTCCTCGCGGTCCTTGACCTTCAGCTTGAGGAAGTTTATGTACTGCAGCCAGAGATCAACAGATAGGGGGATGGCTTGGAGACCTTTCTCAAAAGTTTCCTGACATTTCTCCATGGCGAGCTCCTCTCCCTCTTGGACGTTTTTCCGCTCCAAGTCAGCGAGTTTTTTCCAATAGCCATAGCAGTACGGATAGTGCTCGAAGAAAGACAGGAACACTTCTCGAGCACTCTGAATGCCTGGGCACGGAGAGAAGAAGAAAAATAGGCGATGGCCGAAAAACAATAACTGCCAACAATCAAGCTGGAATTAAGGCAGGAATCCACTCACCGATCAGAAGGACGTTCTGTTCGACATGCGTCAATAGGGATGTCCAGCCATTGAAGTCGCCAGAGTTCTTCTTAGCGTCAGCCCACATCTCCTCGAACGACTTCTTCTCTTCCTTTTTCTCCGTCGTCATCTGGGAACCAGTAAGAGAGACGTTTCACCGACCGATACACGTGATTTCAATCATTTCCGAATGACAGAAGCCCGAGAGCTCGACTGAGAAAGTCACGATTCCTAGACCATCTTGAAGCGATCTCGTAGGGTATTTCGAGACATTGTGAGTAACCTCGTGATATTCGATCTCGACGTAGATCAATGACGGTTCATTATCAGAATCCGGTCGAGTGCTGGTAACCGACGAATTGTGGTACGGGGCAAGCATATCACAGATCGCCTAAAGCAGCATCTGGAGCCGTCAAATGTGTTATATTATACACACGATGACGAAACGCGGATGAGCAACTCCAAGACGCCGACAGCTCGCGGCATACCAGCGCGCTCCAGAGCTGGCATGGCTCGAGATTCACGATCCGACGCTCAAAAGCCTGTGATATAACACCACGTGCGGGAAATCGGATATCGACTACAGCCAGCGAAGCATCGAGGAAAACTTCGATATCCTCCCTCAATCCTAGGTAGTGACCATCAGGCCGACGGAGATCCGCGACGCCCAGTCACGTCCTTCCGGCAGCGTGGCTGGGCGGCACAGCTCGCATCTGACTAAGCAACGTATACCGCGAATTACCTTGCGAAATTGTGTAACGTTTCAGCAGTCGCTTGTGAAACAATATTGGAAACAGAAGAACTTCTCGTCTTTGTCAGAAATGCGGGATTCCAGCCCGAGAACTTGAATCCGGTTCGCTCTATAGAACGCACAGCACACACACTTATAGAATACGCTCAGCAACGTTGTCGGTCGGTCGACGAGGAGTGTGCACAACAACAGCAGCGGTTATAGCAGCCGCCGGAAGCTAGACCCTCTCTTTCAAAACAGAACTCACTCTCACGGAGCGCGGAGCCGGCAGTGTTTCAACCTCTCGGCACTACGCGCCTTACGGAGGACCGACTCACCTAGCGGCGAGGAGATACGATGTTCCGGTTCTCCGCGACAAAGGGAGCGAACGATAAGAACGAGTAATAATTTTTCAAAGGACATCAAGCAGAGAGGCAGAGAGAGATCTAGGATCGCAGACGATCTCTCTGGACCCTCGGGTAATGGTGATGATGATCCCTGCTGAGAAGGGTCCCGGTTCTCTCGAGCTGAGGCTGCGGTCTGCGGTGTGCTCAGGATGGTTCGCGGTTTCTCGTAGCGCTCGAGACTTCGGACGAATCGAGCCCTCCATCCAACCTCACTTGGCTCCGAAGAGAGTCAAGGACAAGCGCACGTTTTGCGCGGTTTGCCGCGTTCTTCGCTTCCGTAAGTAGATCGCAGGAAAGAAGGCTCCGTTGAAGCTTCATCGCACATTCACAGTTCCGATAATGAAAACCATGTCTCTTCGACCCCAATCGTTTTCTACTTCAGTCAGAATTCGAGCAAGCATAACTTTATTGCTGGAAGATTTCGGGCTCGAGTCCGGTGTGACATTCTCCGCCCGGGACGCTCCACGATGCATGAAATGTGTCGGGCGACAAGGACCTCCCGGATCATCAAGGCAGATTTATTCTCGACATGGATGCTCCAGACCCTCTCCGTGGGCCTTCGCCGGCAGAATCCCTCCAGAGCCCAGATGGCAATCGCCGATTCGCCAGGCGGCGTCGCTGGAAATGGGAGTACAGGATGAATAGAGAGAGCCGCCTATTGACCGAAAGGCGTGGACAAGCAACTCCCGCGCTACCTTAGTCAGGTGGAGAGTAACGACATCCTTTTTGACATTTAACGGTGTCCCTCGACCTTCAGAGCAAACCGCGCTCTCTAAGGGATCGCTGACCGATTCCGGAACTCTTCTGCCGCCGCTCTCGCAGAATCGCAGAGAAATACGAGCGGTCCAGGTTTACCGAGTGGAAGCATTGAGCCGGTGAGTCGCAATAATTACGGCACTCGTGAATATTGAGTGCGGCTTCAGGCTACATCGCTCTGCTTGAAGTCAGCCTCATGCGCTTCGCCGCAGCTCAAGATTTCAGCGCGAACCTCAATCATTGGATCTAGCTCTTCCTTGGCTATCCTACGAGGTACCATATGTCTAATCCTGATTTAGGAATGCTCGACATATTAGTGGAATTCTACGAACGGAATTCTACGCCTTGTCCGTCGAGAGGTTCTCGGAGACATTTTTGGTCCAGATAAGCGTAAATTGCGGAAGACGCAGTCAAGGGCTTGTGAAAGTTCAAATCTTCCTCGCCACCGAGGCCATGAACGAACTCGCGCTCTCAGCCTCATCCCGGCTTTTGATAAACTGAATCTCCCCGGTCTCTTCATTTACGAATCCAAGTCTTCAATGAACGGCCGAGCGCATAGGATCACAACCTATCTCGTCACGATGGATCACACAGTCCAAGCACGATCTGCGATCCTAAGTGATTCGCCGGGATCCTCCGTCCTTTGTGAACCGACGCGGCTGATGAGCTTCGGAATCGGGACGTCGCGGGAGACACCGCTCGATTTTCCGATCTCAGGGATCCAGCAAGGATAATCGACATCATTGTTTACGCCACCCTGACAGATGCCATTTTTGATAGTTTCTTTCCGCGTTCTTCTCGTACGCTCTTCGCATGGACTTAGAATGGTTACTCCTGGACGTCACCTCGGGCATACGTACAAAGGAATGGGAGAAAGCCGAACGAAGCGTGAACGCCGAATTTCATGTCTGACTTCAGCTCTCAGGTCGAGAGGGATGTGGGAGAGGACAAGAGCAAACACTACGACGACTACTTCGTGATGATGAATGTATTGAAGAGAAGGTAGGCGCCCGCTCCTGCGCTCCGCCGCTGCTGCTGCCGCTGCTGTGGGACGGTAGTGGTGGTGGTCCTGCGGCCGCCGTCGATATCCCCCCTCCGCTGGCTCTTGGTAGGCAGGCAGCAGCGCTGCAGGCTTCTCCGAGCGGCGACGTTTTATCCGCCGGTTCCCGTCGCCGCCCTCGTCGCTGTTTTTCTTTGCAAGTGCTTGCGACCTCCGAAAAATGCCGCTGCGCTCAAAAAAGTGAGTTCATTGCGCCGGGAAAATTAAACCCTAGTACCTATTGACCCCGAGAGTGGGACCTCTCCCGAAGTTCAGCCACCAGGAGCGCGGATAAAAGAACTGAGGCTTTCCGACCGCTCTCGTGAACGACCATTGAGACCTGCTCGTATGCTATTATCCCGAGATCGATTCACCGAACCCCCCAACGATAGTTCCGAGCCTCTGCTCGACCCAGGACCTCACTCCCCTGAATTGAGAACAAGCGGAATTCGCGCGCCATAGATTCCAATGGGGCTGGTTTTTATTCCTGGGTTCGTTGAGAGCGCAAATATGCTTCTCGCACGCTCGGTGCTCATGGAACATACTTGAAGGGCACGCAACCGCATTCTTGCGCGTAATACTGACGTTTCCGCTCTACTGGTCGGGCAATAGGCTGGACTTCCTCGACCTTGACTCTGGGGGTTTCAGCTGGCTCGTACGGGTATCTGCAAGACCTTTGGGTATAAATTAAAGCGTTTCAGTCGGCCGTGATGCTCGTCCCAAGGCATTGATAATCGAGAGTCTCGGACTTTACCTTGGGGGGCTGGGTGTTGGCGTGTATTGGAAAGGATCCACGGGGATATAGGGTGGTGCGGGTGTCGGCCTGTAGTGGACCGAATGATGGTGTTGTTTGGGGATATGCCGTCCCTGAACTTCAGTCTCGTGAAAACCATCACCCTCGGGCTCAGTGTCCAAACAATGCACCCGGGACAGGGATATCTGTAAATGAGAGCGATTATTGCCGTCGTCACGGGACGTTCCGATGAGCAGAGACGATAGGGAGCGAAGTAGCAGGCCGAGCGGAAATTTCGAGTCCCACCAGTCCGATGATTGAGAGGAAGAGTCGGCGCGAAGCCATGGTTGCAAAATATTCCTCGGTGTGGGTTCGCTGCCGACTTTTATACGGCAATGGGGATTCTTCTGAGCCCGGGAACCTACAACCTACAATTGACCTTCACACCTACTCAAATCGCGAAGATCAGATGGAGTATCCAGACTAGCGTACTATTTATGAGGGGAGCCGAAAGCCAGGAATGCCGCTCTGATCAGAAACTTTGTAAATTGTAGAATTCTCACTTCCGAAGCGGAGAATGGTCTGTTTTATGGCTTTGTCACCTAATATAATCGGCCGAGGAGCAGAACGAACGGAAACGCCCCTGACCATTCGTGCGTTCCTCACACGCAGCTAAACTCGATTCGTTTACGTTTTCAGAAAAATCCCGGTCTTCACCAATCCTGCTTCTTGTTGCGGAGCCGTGGATTGCCACTGCATTTATGCCTTAATTACGTTTCCTCTGCTATTCCTCCTGGCGATCCAGAGTTTCTACTCAATGATTATCTCGTTCGCCGCAATGATCATCATCCTGAGGTTGGTGAACGGTCACTCCCATCGGGAACGCATCCGCTCAAAGTTTTTCCTCGTCTGGGGCATCCTGTCATATGTGCAACTCCTGCTGCTCTTCCAGCTGGTGGTCGTGCCGCAGCTGAAGGTGATATTCACAATATAATTGTGCTTTATGTATCTTCGATTATTATTGAGATTTCTCAACGGCCATGTGACTCCCCGTAACATGTCATATGAACGAACTGAGAGTATTCCTTCCGCGCAGATCCTTCTGTCCGAGAACGCCGTCCTCACGAGCCTCGTGGTAGCAGCTCTGTACTTCGCGCAATGCTCCAGGAGGAATCCGGGGATTTTGAATCCTCATCGCAACGAGGACGAAACTAAAATTCTCATCGAAGAAGAAGGCGTCCGTGAAGGTCGTTGCGCAGTTTGCCTCCTCCCGATGCCGCCGCGAACTTCTCACTGTCTCATGTGCGGAGTGTGCGTTCTGCGAAGAGATCACCACTGCATTTGGCTAGACGTTTGCATCGGCGCCAACAATCACCGACATTTCATACTTGGTCTTTTCACGCTCGCAGCCGGTTTATTTTACGGTGCAAACCTGACGTTGACTTCAATCTGTCAGCCAATGATGTTTTGGGGTTTGTTCCTGGTTCCCCAATCATGTCCGGGAGTCTTTGACGCTTGGCTCGACGCCTGGGTTTACGTGAGTGCCGTATACGCAGCATTGGTGGCATGTCTCGTGACCGTGGTGCTCTTACAGCAATTGCTCATGGTCGCTTGTAACACGACCGTTTACGAAATCAGGAAATACCAACAGCTCAACGGAAGTTTAAAGCCCGCTTCTCTAATCAGCAACTGCTTCAATTTCTGGGTGAAATAGGGACTTGAATTGCCCAGCACCGTTAATCTACCGAATGCTCTCTAAGTGATTGGCTCACCGGTGCGAATCGAGCGCTTCGTAGCCTAGACCAACTCGAACAACTCACGCGCTCTGCTCGCAAATATAGATTCAAGAAGCGATTCCATTCGACAAATTCCTCTCAACTCTCTTCCCGATCTATCACACAACGAAAGTCTTCTTCTACGAATCTGCAATCGATTGCCTCCGAACTTCCCTGCGACTACGAAGTGAACGTGTCGAATCGTCCTTGAGGGACACAAGGCGTTGTGATTTACCTCTTCCCTGGCTCCGGCTCTGGAAAAACGGAGGAAAAAAGGCTGGAGTGGGATGTACCCTCCCACATGCTATCGACCTCATCCTCGTGAGTGTCAGAGAGACTTGACCGACCGAGGGTCGGCGTCATTCACCTCGAAGGCTTCTTGCCTTCCGGACTAAGAAAGTTTGTTACTTATTGATGTACAAAGGCGTGGAACAGATTCAATTGTTCTCAAAGATGCCTGATCCCTTAACCGAAGCTTCTGATGATGTTCATCATGCTCTATCGGAATGGATTAGTTATAATGATCGATCCCGGATGTACGTATATCCGGACCTGATATTCTCCTACGGCGTACTCACGTAAATATATTCGATCAACTCACTCTGATTTTCGATGCCTTTGTATTCATGTATTCTGTGCTGTTCGAGCCCGTTGCGTTGATGTTTTATCAATGACTACACGTGAATGTCAGTTTTGATCACGGCTCGTTGAGTTCACTCCAGAACAAATCTCATGACTATTTAGAGTTCCACGCCCACAAGCAAGTAGGCTGTTCCTAGTCGAACGGCCCGATAATAATAATGATAATGATATTCAATAATTAGATATTGAGTCAGATGACGACAGTGGTACTAACGATTACCTGATCTACAGTCATACATATGACGCGGATACTCTGTAGTTGGTTGAAGATATGTGTCATATTTTGTTATTTATTGTATGGAGGAACACATCAACTAGAAGTCTAGAAGTATTGAATTATCCTGCGATCTCCACCGACGACGGCAGCGACCGCAGCAGACAGTTTGTGATAGGGGTTAGATGTTAGATGATTTTGTAATCGAGAATAAAAGTACAGTGTGTTCACTAGAATTCGCCCATCCCGCCGCGTCATTTCTGGGACACCTGACCCGAAGCGAAAGTCCGCACGAAAAGAGAACTCTCTGGAGTCTGTCGCGGCACTTCCCGACCTCAGGCCGCCATTCGCAGAATGCGGCTTCGACGTGGTCCGGGAATGATGCGATCGAGGACTAGAGCCGGCGTTTCCCACGAGACTTGCGCTCGCCTTTGCGGGCGACTGACACAAAGTCTTGCCATCTCATTCTAGAGCTTCCGTTGACACATTCGCTCTGGGGGTTGCACGTCCAGCCACGGGGACAGCAATGGTTGTTATCGGGACAGCAGGTCGCCTCCTCGAATGGACAGCAGCCATAGTAACCCGAGTCAGGTAAGGGGCAGCACGTGTATTTGTCCGCGCAGGTGCTCTGACCGTCCGGGCACACCATACCTGCAACATTATTTCCGTTATCGATGCTGTGATGACTGATGACTACCGGCCACAGTCTCACCTCCGATGTGTAGACATTCCGTTTTCAGATATCACAGACCTTCAACTAGATGGCAAACAATCGCTGTGAGCGCGAGACACGTCAGAATTAGCGATCTCATCTGGAAATCGAGACGGCCTTCAGATTTTGAGAGCGAAACTTGACTGGGACAGAATTTCCGACGATGCGGCCCCTCTAAGAATTCCATTGATCAGGAGGGTTCCCGATTTTTGGATGGCAGTTGGCACGGCGCCGATAAGAAGCGTTAGCCTCGTCGATCAGGCCGTCAAACGTGCTTGCGATCCTCCGACGGGCGACTTCTCTGTATTTTGAATCTGGGTATGTTAGAGAGAATCCTGATGATCCTTGCCCGGTGGAGGAGAACATTTTTCCCGCAGTTCCCAATTCCCATCTCGATTGGAGGTATCCCGTGCAGGATATAGTCCCTGTCGCAACACTGCGCTGTGCAACGCTATCGTACCGCCGACCGATCTTGCTCCGAGTTCCATAATTCTAGGGACGGATTCATGACATCCGTCATGATGCAGGGATCCAGGTCGAGCCTCACAGCTCTATTTCCTACCAAATGGGAGCGGCAAAAAGCCTCCAGGGGAGCAACGCATTGTTCGATCCAAAGGTTACGAGGACCTACCTTTCCCAGCTGGAGCGGTGATATGCTCCTTAGTTCGATTATAAGGAGGGATTCGGCAGTTCAGGCGGATAAAACTGACGATCGTTTCTCATCTTCCATCTTAGATGAGATTCGGAAGTGTCACGAATTTATTTGAGTTTAATTTATCTTCCCCGATATCGATCTCACGAAACGAGTTCGGAATGCTCATTGGGAGGCATGGCAGATGACATCGATGTTCCATATCAGCAAACAGGAGGCAGGAGGGGGTGAATGCCCCCCATTTATCCTCTCCTAATGGGCAGTATTCAGACATGTGCCCCCCATTTTGGAGGGGGACCCAGGCATCGAATCTCTTAGGACGGAAAACCCTGTTCCTCACCCCTGCGAGAACGTCTGAATTTGCCGCCCATCGGAATGGGCTCAGGAGATCGGGAGGCATATATTGTGATGCAGGAGCGAAGAATCAGCAATCAGCACTCCAAGCCGAAGTATGTCGCTTAATGATTGCTGATAGCTAGCCCTATTCGCCCTTCTAATGTCCAGACTTCAAAGGGGCGCACCGATGGCGTTCCGATTTCGCCGCATCTCCTACTCTGAAACAGTCAGGATCTATCACGGGATGAAGTTCAGACATAGCTCATTCAGCCGAAACGAAAGCCTCACAGCACAGTCCCGAGAGGGGCCTTTCGAAATTTGGCGCCTGATGCTAACATCAGCGACAGAGTGGTTTCGGTGTTTTTCTTACAAAGATCAGCGTCATCATCTGCAGTGTGAGTTGCAGATTTGATTCTTCCAGTCTTCTCAGTCTAGTATCTTTGTTGTAAGTACTTTTCGAGCCTCTTGTTTACGGCGACGCTTCACGAGGTGGTCGGAAGCTCCGAACCGCGTTCGACGAGTTCCGAATCCCTGTCGCTCGACATCCGGGGCAGACGCCGATCCAGATGACGACCGGCCCCTTCATGCCTTGAGGTGCATTGACACCGAAACAGCGAAGTATTCGGAGTCGCCGAACCGCGGTAAACTTCTCCTTGCTCCGGTGCTGAAAGGTCCCATGAGTGGAGGACTCTCTCGGCTGCGGTCCAGCATGTGTCGCGACTCCTGGACAAGTGATTTTCATGGAACGACGATTATACCGACAGGGGATGACGTGCCGCCTCCTGAAGTCCGAGATCGACTTAAGAAAGAGAACTATAATACGATTTAAAGTACCAAGGCTGACTCTTCCAGGTATCTTATGATGGCCGAATCGATGGAAGTCGACGTTTCTGTTGCCGAAGAGTCTCAGGATGCTGATGCGACCACTATTGAAGAATTGAAGGAGCACACAAATCACATCCAGAAGGCCGTCGCCAATAAGGAGTCTCGATTCATATTGAGGATCCTCCGGCTGTTACCAGCGACGCGCAAAAAGCTAAATTCGAAGCTTCTCCGCAAGATCATCAATGGTTACTACACTCACGACAAGGTCCACAAGGACCTCCTGCTCTCCTTCGTCGAGGACACTGATGACACAGAAGCCGCGCAAAATCGGTAAGATTCCTGTGCGACTTGGCCGAATTCTCCCTGCATCCCTAATATCAAGGCTTGATGGGTCGAGATCGAAGAAAAGGTGATGGAGCGCTATAGCTGATGCCCCCGTTAGTCAGATGCGTTTTGGACTTGAAGATGAGCTGAAAACAAACAAAAATCACCTTTCCAGCATGAGGTCGCAGAAGAGTGCACATCTCGCTCTACTGCCAGAGGTCGACGTTTACTTGCATCTGCTGCTTTTGGTGTACATCGTCGACAGCGTCGAAAATGCCTCATCGAAGAACATGGAGCGTGCCGTCAAGTGTAGTGAACTCCTAATGGCCAAGGTCGAAGGCCACAGCGCAAGGAGAACGATCGATCTGCTCGCGGCGAAAAGCTATTTCTACTACAGTCGAGTGTACGAATTGGACGGGAAGCTCAGCAATATCAGAGGGTAGGAATCAAAACTGTCGGCGCTTCGCTCATGGAACTCCCCCAACCAGCGCATGTATTCTCTTATTACGAGGAGAGGGCTCGGAGGAGCTGGAAGATTCATCATGTACGACCGTGTTCTGACCTTGCAGGTTCTTACTGAAGCGTCTCCGGACCGCCACGTTGAGGTCAGACTTCGAGGGACAGGCCGTGCTCATCAACTGTTTGATGCGGAACTACCTCCACTATTCCTTGTTCAAGCAGGCGGCTAAGCTTGTCTCCAAAGTGACCTTCCCAGAAATGGCTTCGAACAACGAGTGGGCTAGATATCTCTATTATCTTGGCCGCATCAAGGCGATTCAACTTTTCTACACAGACGCCCACAAGAATCTTCTCCAAGCTATCCGGAAGGCACCTCAACACACAGCATTAGGATTCAAACAAACTGTCTATAAACTGGCGGTCACGGTCGAGCTGCTCCTCGGAGACATCCCGGACAGGGCAACTTTCCGTCAGCCCGCCCTGAGGAAAAGTCTCGCTCCGTACTTCCAATTGACGCAGGCCGTCCGAACAGGGAACCTCGCGCTTTTCAACAAGGTGCTTGAAAACTACGGGACTCGATTCCAGGCCGACCACACCTATACTCTCATCATCCGGCTTCGTCACAACGTCATCAAAACCGGCGTCCGAATGATCAACTTGTCGTACCAACGGATTTCGCTAGCGGATGTGGCGGCGAAATTGCAATTGGACTCTGCTGAAAGCGCAGAGTTCATCGTCGCCAAAGCGATCCGTGACAACGTGATCGAAGCAACGATCGATCACGATAAGAGTTACATGCAGAGCGCTGAGAACATAGACGTTTACTGCACTGGAGAGCCTCATTGTCAGTTTGACCAGAGGATACAGTTCTGTCTGGATATTCACAACCAGTCGATCAAGGCGATGCGATTCCCTCCGAAGAGCTACAATAAGGACCTTGAGAGTGCAGAAGAGCGACGTGAGCGTGAACAACAAGATATGGAGTATGCAAAAGAACTTATCGAAGAGGACGATGACGCTTTTCCGTGAGATTTAGCAGTTGTCAGTCAGTCTAGAGATACCATACAGCCGTGGATCTACTGCGCTCTTAATAAAGAAGATCTAATATCGTACAAACGACGATGGAAACTTCAGAGCTGGGGAGGCGGAATTTTACGGAGGGGAACGGTACGGAAAATAATATTTTATTCATAACAGCGGGATAATTCCGAAAAACCGAAATTCGATCAGAATTCCAAATAAGAACATTTCAGCCGTGATGTCATACGCGGTACTTGGATACTAAACGGAAATGTCGCTTGCGCTCCCCCGTTCGCTCCGAAGTTATTTCGGCTAGTCGATATAGGACTGCGTACTGGGAGATCCAGTGATTTACTCTGAAGACTTCGATGAATTGTGCAATTTGTGGCGGAGCCAATGGTTGACGATTCCTCCGACGGAGAAAGCCGGACCGATCCGAGCCGTTCTGAGCCAGAATGTTCTCCAAAACTGCTCTCGTATGAAACACAGGCGCTGCATAGAAGAGGCTACGGGATTATTGTACAGATCCATGCCGTAGAGGAATATTGGAGTGTTGAAGAGCTGGGCGAATAGCGGGCAGAACACCTGGCTGATTTTGTACGCTTGTCCTTCCTCGAGCGAGAAGGTTTCCCGTAAGTGCTCGGTGACAGGTTGTACGAGTGTGAAAGAACCGAAAATCGTTATGAAGTCCCGTACACCGTAGCAGACGAGCGAAGAAGTTGGAATCGGCCTGGGGGCGCTCGTGCCGAACATACGAGAGAATGCTCGGTCTTTCAGAACGCTCATCGAGACATTGATGCAGCTCGTGAATGCAAGGACTGAAGAAGACGCATTCTCCAATCGATTGATCTCCGTGTACCGAGTGGATACGTTGAAGGCAATGTAGGTCGATGAGTAAACTCCCCAGACCCAGAGCAGAGATGGGTTCTTCACAAACTGAGCCGGGTGCCGCACCACGGTAAGGAGCGATTCATTGAACGATCGGCTGAACGATGCCTTCCCGCTTGCGTTCGAAAATATTGCTTTGTCCACCATGGAAACCGCGGGCGATACGGCCGCTCCCGAAAGGAAACCACTGAGAACTTCTCTATCCATTCCGATCCGATTAGAGTGTGAAGTGCATCGGACTTCGATCATTCGATCTTCACTGGAGGTCTCCCGGTTTCCTAAAACGTTGAACAGGCCTCGCGGAATACCGTCAACGCCAGACGGAGTATGGTCTTCATGGTCCGGCCTTCGCTCAAAGATCGATCCGATCCTCCGCGGTGGAAAAGTGAACAGGGGAATCAATTGGAAGCACCTTAGCTCACACACCTGCGGTTTGTCAACAGGTGGCTCCGAGCTTTCGAACGTTAGTGGGGCCGACGATGCGAGTCCATCGGGAGGTGAACCAGCGTAGGTGTCGGGGAGCTCGATCTTGCGGTTTACTGCATCCGCTACACTGGACAAAGGTTATCGGGTCTCTCAAGTGGCTCTCATCATTATATCGCGCAGCTGACTGATTCAGTCGGCAGCTCGTTTCTCCCTGCATCATGAATGTCGGCTTGGGTGTCCGAGTCGACTGTAAATTCGAGCCCGCCCAAGGTTCTAGCTCGGCTCGGGAGGAATTTGAAACTCGGCAATCACCTTGCCGGATTTCATCATTTTTCTCGTGGCCAGAGGCTGCGTGTGACGATGACGACGGCGCGGCACCGGCATCTTCTCATGAGAAGGGGAGAGGATAGCGCGGTCTTCGGCTCACCGTCCCGTCTCCGGAGGCATCTAACTGAACCGGGTTTTCAGAGCTGTTGGCAGCGACACTAGCAGCTGGTCTTCCGTCAACTCCACGTAACACGAGAAACCGTATTCGTATGGTGAGCAGCTCAACATGTGGCACTTACTCTGTCTGACGGTCGTGCTACCGGCCGCTCACGGCCACATGAATCAGCCTCAGCAGGCCTTCGGCGTTCCGCAACAACAATACGGTGCTCCGGTGCATCAGGTGCCCCCTCAGCACCTACAACAGCAACAACAGTATCCACCTCAGCAACCGATGCAACTCGGTCATCAAGCGCCTCAGGCAGGGAATCTGCTGCGTGACAAGGCTCAGGTGCAGGACAGAGCCCATATCCAGGAGCATCTTCAAGAAATTCTAGGTGGGAGTCAATGAACACTCGTCATTCGATGATCATAATCATCTCTCGCTTTCTGGGATCAGGAGCGTAGACGAGCTCAGGAGCGTCGGGGAACGGGCTGTCCCGCTGCAGCCGGCAGCGACATGTCGAGAGAACGAGCTGACGCAATCATCATTTTGAACTTACAGGTGATCAGGATCTGTCCAAAATGTCTGAGGACGAACTCCAGTTCCATTACTTCAAACTACACGACAACGATGACAACAACAGACTCGACGGCTTGGAGCTCGTGAAATCTCTGATTCACTGGCACGTGGAAGAACACAAGCATTTGCAGGTAGAGAACCTTATGAAGGGAATTCCCGGTACGATTTATCCGTTGGCTAGTTTATTGGCTCCGCAAATCCACCTCGGAGATCGCCAATCTGCTCAGTGGGTCTCCGCGACTGATTGACTTGATTTACGCAGGCTAGTCAGGGAACACCCACCCCACAACAGCAGAATGCGGGCCACGCAACCACGAAGATCTTCAACGATGTCGAGCTTCAGCAGATGATTGATCCCATTCTGCAGATGGATGATACGAACCGTGACGGTTACATCGATTATCCGGAGTTTGTCGCCGCGCAGAAACAACGCGGCTTCTAGGTTCTGTCGTCTCATCATTCCCGAAGCAACCCCAACCGTGGCCTTCTTCGCCGTTCTCTTCTTCGGACTCAGGAATCTCTCCGAGCGACATTTCGACTTGATTTGGAAGAGGAGGTTCTCACTTCCGGAGAAAGCCGCGACCGCTCGGAAACCTCCTCCACGAGCATCGCGTTGTGTACTTACTTCTCCGAAGCCGGTCACAAAAAAGTAATTGATTGTTGCATCGCATGTTCTAGGTTCGGTACTCAGTGACTCTGATAGAGCGGACGACTGTTTGTGCAAATGGATTAATTGAATCGTTCAGAATCTCAACCCCTTCAAATGATGTATGCGGGATGTTTGAAGTGTTCATATGCATACCGTGAATATTCCAATACAGGCTTGGAAACCCATAATTTTAAATTATTCTGTGCATCTCTTCTATTAGAGGAGGCGTCATCCTCCTTCAGGGCTCCATCCTTCACTGGGACTATAATTATCTTGAGGAAGGCCGCTCGCCTCATCTACGATTCGGGGTCCAAAAACTAGAGAACAATTTTGCTGGCAAACTTCATCATCGCCCCAGGACTGCGCTCGGTCGGGAGAGTCAGGCTTGTCTCGAAATCAGGCCCTCACTCCCTGGTTCCAATTCTCAGGCACAGGCTTGTTGGCTATCTTAGGGTAGGAATATGTCGGAATCCGAATCGTTCTTTCTCCTGGTCCATGCAGCAGTACAGAGGGAAAGATGCTCCGTTCCTCCTCAAATTCATCATCCATACATTTCTCCCTCAGGAATTAATTCAGAATACGACAACACGACTCCGCATTTTTCCGGCGATCTCATTTATTCGTCTGACCCTCATATTCCTAATCAAACCACCGCTCAATGGCTATTGGATCGAAAGAAGGACGGCAGAATCACTTGGTGGGACTCCGGTACTCATTCAGGAGCTCCGATTTGGTCGACAGCGTTGCTGGTCCCGCTCGTAGGCTCCGTCGTTTTCGCGACCTGATGGGAATGTGTGGTTTCATCTTCGGAATCCGATTCGCCGTCACTCTCGCTAGGAGGCAAGTCGATCTCGGAAGGCTGTTTTTCACCATTCTGAGCCAGAAAGTCGGTTTGCGCTCGGATAATTTCTACAGAGGTCTTGCAAACGGCGTAAGACTCGAGGAGATCTTTGTTTAACGACGGGAAAGAATGTCCCCAGCTGAATTTGCCCAAGTAGAAATCTGCTATCGAATCAAACCCTGTGAGATACATCACGGCGGCGATCGCCTCTACGCAAGACAACTCGCATGGTTTTCCATAATTGACGGGATTGGCGGCGACCAGGAACGGTAACAAGCGGGAATGGGTCCCTTTCATCTTAGAGAACGGGGTGTCCTGCAGACGAGCCCATGAGCAGTCGACGACTGCGACTCCGTATTCGGCGAGGATTTCCGTGTCCTCGGGAGAAACACATTTCGTGGCAGAAGGAGTCAGAATGATACCATTGAACCGTTGACCCAACCGAAGGCTGGTGATGAGGTTCATCCGTTGGAGCTTCCGACCTTGGAATAGAAAATATAGAAAAATAGAATTTAGAAATAGAGGAGGGAAAGGGCGGAGGGGGATTGGTGTCCTACGAGTAATCTTCTGCCAACCTAATTTGAATTTCTGCATGTCTTCCCCTCTCGTCGCGAGGCTTTCAGGTCTCACCTGTGCATTTTTTCGGATCACAGTGTCCCAGATCCCACATGGCCACTGGGAACGGACAGTCTATCGTGTCTTCGTCTTCCGAAGACGAAGTTTCATCGTTTGGGGCTCTCGGCTCATCGTCGAACTTGCGTCGCTCCCTGTTGAGTCCAGCAGCGGAACGTCGATCTCTGTAGGTCTTCCTGCCGCCCCGCTTCCGGCCCCGTGAGGACATACCTCGGGGATCTGAATGGGAAGGATTGAAAGTTGAGCACAGATCACTTATCCCAATCTAGTGATGGAGGCCCTCCCGATCCACTCCGTTGTTGAATATTGGCGGGAGAGCCTCCCCAAATCGCTCGAAACGTCACCCATGACATCGGGTGCCCGCCAGCTCCTGTGAGAACTCCCGACCCTCATGAGCTCAGGTGAGAGAGCAGCTCTCGTAGTCTCATCGGATCACCCCGAAAGTTCGGAAGGGGAAGTCTGAGCAGCCTATCTAAGTCGGATGATTTCGCATAAGAAATCCTTCACCCGAACAATTGGCCGCCTGCTCCGAAACTTCCCTCAATATTGTCAGAGGAAGCGCCGCTGCCCCAGAGCTCGGAATCGAATCGCAACATTGACCCTACATTACCCGCAGGTGACGAAAATCTCCAAATCGATGGTCGATTCCCAATTACCGCGCGTTACTTATGAGTTCATTCTGATCCTGAAGATCGGCTTGTCACCTTTTGAAGCTCGGTTTTCCTGCACCACTCGAGGCTGCCGAGATCTCCCTCGTTGGAGGTGATGAAGAACAATGACGAGAAACCTCACACAAGCGCATTCAGTGACTGACGCTGAAAACTGGCGAAGCAGAAAAGCGCGAGTCGCTTACATCTGTTCGCTGTTCGATTCAGAGACGTAGATCTCGGACAAATCGACACGGGCGGCGAATTTTCGATTTCGCGTTTCTCCTGACGGACCCGAGAGGGCCAATCGCCCGGCCTCAAAACTCATTGATTTTCTTGGTGAAAGATCAGAGAGTTGGCTCGGAACAGGCGGTTTTATTTTCGAGGAATCTTCCCGAGGAATCAGCGATTCCCGCACATCCCGCGCCGTAAAGCTCGGAGGCTCGTGCCCTCTCCACGAGGAAATAGAACTGTGCTGCTTTCGCTGTTTCAATGGTGGAAGTGTGCGATTCTCGTGCTCGGCCCACCGCGACTTATTCCAGGACTATGTTGAATTGATCACAGTCAAACCTCTAACGCCGTTCTCCAGAGGTATGTCGCGGTCCTCATAGATTGACGTCTCTTGGAACCCCGGAGATACCCTCCCGGAGATAGATTGTCAGAAATCAAGATTCAGATGTTGTCTCCAGCCGAGGGCTTCCTCCAAGTATCGCTTTCCGCGGATGGAGATCGAAATCAGTGCTTGGCGATAAGGGTCGGCCAGCTCCGGTCTGGCCTGGTTTCCGACGCTCGTCAAGCATTTCGGAGAAATAACTCCGCACGGAAACAGATGACATTACACTACGGGTCTCTCGACCCCAAAGGTTGTCCGCAGGATCCGGATCGATACTATTCTATCGCATATGACGAATCTGTCAGCCTCTAGATTCATACTCGCTGCATATTCCGACATCCTCGGCTGGCCTCGAAACGCGAGGCAGGGTGAGGCTCGAATTCGACTCGCTATCCCGACCCTTTGGGCTCCCAGACATTTTTAATTGCCCAACCCGTAGCTCTATCGTCGAGTGGAGAGCTCACGAGAATCTGCAGACTGTATGCGGGATTATGCGCTCGCGGAACAGCTTTAGACCCGGGAGATCGAGCGGCTTCTATTGTTCTACGGATACCCGAATACGACGATTGTCGCAGCTTGCTGCACCCTTGCGGGGATGCCCCTGCGTGCGCTCCCGTACATTCACCATATTCTATAATTTCGTCCCGATATTGATACGTATCCTATAAAGCGAGAAATTTTCGGGGATTGGCTCTAAGAGAATTCCCTCGTTCCCCATCAGATGGCTGCAATGACAGATGCTTATATGAGCTTCCTGCAAGGAATAAATTCGAGGAGCTTCCCGCGAATAAAGTTGAGGTCGAGTTCCGCTCAAGCATCCAGCTGCCTGAACGACTCGCTGCAGCACCGATGTCACTCGCAAGAAAGTTTCGTTGACTTAGGTGAGGAAAATCAGGATGTCTTCCGAAGGAGCACCTCACTGCCCTCATTGGACCAAGTAGATGGATACCTCAGCAACTCTCTGTCACCAGGGTGAGTTCCTCCCGTCTCATGACACAAGACAAGGATTTCACCATCTCAAGGAGTGCCTCCGAACCGCTCTCCGTATCGTGTGTTATCTGCTCGAATGTCATCGGAAATCTCTCAATCAGTAGTCCTTTAATCCTTCACTCCGATTAACCGTGACCTTGAAGATTTTCGGAAATTGATCGCGGTTGAAAGTCGAAGCCAGTGAGATGCGCGCATGCCTCGGAATTCGAGCGCTCCTTCGCGAGAAACGCGTCACGGAGAGCTCCTCCGGAATACGTACCTGATGATGCTCGGAGGAAGGAGGGCTCTATTCTACATTATCGCTCCTGTCGTTCTCGAAGGACTTCGAGTTCTAATCTAGGAGCCGGATGCGCGTTCTTGATAATCTGAGTTCGCGGACCTTCTCGACATTTGGCTCTGTTTTTTGTCGGATTCATGAGTTCTCCTGCTAGACCGGGCTGGGGTGCGACCTCCGCGCTTCAAGAGGTTCTTCCTCGCCGCTCCGTAGAGCGATATACGAAAGCCTCTGCGATTGGCACCGCTAGAATCTCGGCGGACGCTGCCGAATTGCGCAGTTTGCAGTGAGCTATTATCCCCGGGTGATGGAGCATCGATGACTGCGGGAGCTTTTCACATGCAGCAACGTGGTGGTGATTGAGCTGACAGGCGAGCTCCGGGGGCGAGGTGATGGCTACCTCGGACTTGGAAATGGTGTCGATCGTTTGTGATGTGCGAGAGCTCTGGATCGAGTTACAGAACGATTATCTTCTCATCATAGAGCTCTCCCCCGAGATCAGAGCGAAAATTGCGGAGTGGTTCGGCAGCTCAAGGTATCGTTTCAGAAGGACGGGGCGAACGTCTCCGGGGTCGACCCCGGAGACTATCGTCCATGATTCAGTTCATGATTTTGCTAGATTACGAGATCATTTCAATATCAGAAGGATACCGAGAGCAGTCCCCCGGTTCGGATCGCCGACTCTGAAAATTCGCAAAAACTGATCAGACGGGTGTGAGGGACTTGTGAGAGTGTCATAATTGAAATTGCCGAATTTCGGAGATTTGAGCGAACATTAGTAGTACGAAATCCCTGAGGAGCACCCTGACAAAATTCTGTGGGGAAAAGAAATCTTCGTTCCTGAGGGGGGGATTTCATTGGAATGTTCGCGGTATCAATCCTTCATGATGCTTGAGAGACCTCACAGAAGCCATTCTTCCCCTACGAGCGAGATCCACGGTCCTCGTCGAAAGGAGTTCCGATGCCGGTGAAGAATTCGTGTTATCGTCCGGAACAATCGACCCGAGTAGGATGAAGATTTCGAAAGGAGTTTCGCGCTAGCTTTTTTTCGCGCATGAAGATTGACACCGCATCATCTCTTTCCTCAGGCAGGGTCAAGAAAGCACATCTGAAGCAGTAAAGAATCGAGTTCGGGGTTGGTGGGCCAACATGAAATATGGCTGGAATGCGATGAACTCAGGCGCACAGATCGACATCAGTGATCTCAGTGGAGCCGATCCCATCTACTTACTGGGACATGTGTACCACAATAAAAACAATTCGGCCTCCTTCAAAAATTTCTTCGCGGATTTCTCGACCCGCTTATGGTTCACCTACAGACAAGTAAGGCTCACTCAATTGTCCCAATATATCGGGCATCGAGAATGTACTGCCTGAATCATTTCATGACCGAGAATCGTTGAATGGCCATGTGTACAGGCGACTAATCGATATTCGACTTTTCTTATATAGGATTTCCAGCCTATGCAAAGCACGGGTCATACAAGCGACTCAGGATGGGGCTGTATGTTGCGATCGGCGCAGATGATGTTAGCCGAAGCATTTATATTCCACCTCCTGGGCCGTCAGTGGCGGTGGTGTCCGCAACAACAGCAACAAGAACATGGAGTCCATCGGAAAATCATCAAGTGGTTTTCGGACGATCCCGATACGACCGAAGCTCCGTTCAGTGTTCACAACATGGTCAGAGCCGCCGCTCATTGCGGGAAGAAGGCAGGTGAGTGTCCCGTGAATGAATGAGGTCCCCGATGCACCTTCCGTATTCATCCTGAGGCTGCAATTCCCGGAATCCGGGGTACCCCGGCTAGTTTTAACGTCCTGCGTTTGATGACGCAACAATGGACGTCACGTGTTGTGGTCTTTCGACAGCGTCATGATTAATCGCTACAGTACCGACTGGTGGCTAGAATGCTCCCTCGATGCCCTCATGCTGAATGCCGGAAAGCTTGCGGCGATCAGCGGAGTGGCGATTGGGAAACACCGTTGAATCATTCAACTCTTCCGCCCCGAGAATATGACTGCCACAAAAATGGTGACAACATAACTAATCTCGGTGAAAATATTCTATCTACCAGGTGATTGGTTCGGTCCGTCGACAGCTGCCTATCTGCTGAAAAGATGTCTCGAAGAAGCAGCTGGAGTAGCTGATTCCAAAGAGATCTTTGAGCAGATGGCCATTTACGTAGCCCAGGACTGCACAATCTATACGCAAGACGTCCTCGATTTGTGCACAAGTGATCCGAACATCGAATGGAAATCCGTAGTGTTGCTCATTCCTGTTCGATTAGGGGGCGAGCGCGTGAATGTAAATTACATTCATTGCATAAAAGAAATCCTCGCGTACCAAAACTGCCTCGGCATCATCGGCGGGAAGCCGCGGCACTCCCTCTACTTCGTGGGTTTCCAAGGCAAAAAACTGGTCTACCTCGACCCGCATTACCTGCAGAAAACCACAGATACGTCGAGATTGAATTTCTCTGTGAATGTGAGTCCCGCAATCAGTTGTTAATTTTTCTCCGGAAGTTCGAGATCTTATCGGAGGCTCTCGAATTCCATCGCGATGTTTGCGACGTGATCCGTAACTCATCTTTATCCTCTTCTCGCAGAGCTTTCATTGCACAACGGCGCGGAAAGTATCATTCTCCAAGCTAGACCCTTCGGCCACAATCGGATTCTACTGCAAGACCCGGAGAGATTTCGAGAGCTTCCAATCTATTATGCAGAGCGTCACCGAATCTTGTCCACAGAACCAAGGCTACCCCGTTTTCATCATCAGCGAGGGGAGTTCAGCGCTGGTGAACCAATTGAATCCGCTGGAGACTTCTCAGGAGAGAATCCTCCGGGTCCACCGGAATATCATCACGCCTCAAGGCACCGTTCGGCGGGAGTCGGAGGAATACGTGGTTCTCTGATGTGTATTACGCGTCCGAGAGCTTCGCGCCGTATCCATCCGGGATCATCGTTGAAATTGACCGCGTAAACTTTCTCAAATGTCGCTGACGGGTGCGGAGCTCTAGATCGACTCCCAGGCACCATCCTGGCGGATAAGTCGTCGATACGTGTACATATGAAGCCCTCATTCAAAGCGCGCAACAACAACTCTTCAATGTAAAGAAGGGGCAAACCCTTGTAAATAAACACGAACTCCGTACGTTATGCGCGATCCCTCATTCACGGCGACCGGTTGTCGAGAAATTATGATGAACCAGACAACTAGACTGTGATCTGGAAACAATATGTGGCGAAGTACCGAAAGGTTCGAGGATATTGCAGGAAATGCCGGGCAAAATCAGACGCAGGGCATCGGCTCATTTTCGCAACGCCGTTCCCAGGATCGCTCATTCGTCATAATCTGAGAGAGGCATTTATAATTGCGATCACCCATCCGTCTATCCATCGGATCAGCACGTCGCACTCAGTCAGATTGTTTGGGCATCATTCTCAGCTTGCTCACCCGGAATGCTCTGAGTCACAGACTTCGTACCCGCGCGAGCTACAAAGCTTCGCCGGCCCGTCTCGGGGCAACGGTCAATGTTGTGACAAGCGGATTCCTCTCCATTTCCAGATTGACACATGGAACGCCGAACTTATCCGATGACTCGCCGAGAAGAATCGCGGACAATATTGTGTTTCAATCCTGTGAGTCGGTCTCTCTCCTCAGATCTCACTCAGCTTCGTATTCCCGAGAACCGGATCTAGTCCCATCAGTCCCCCTATAAAGCCTATTCTTGAGTTTCGATGCAGCCTATGTGCTCTATTTGATGAAAATCAAAAGTTTCGGTGAAGAATAATAGAACAGAGTTCATTGAATAAATGCTTTGGGAACGGCGCGGCGGCTTGAGGTTCCGCGGCAGCCCCGAGGGGATCACCAGGGAAATGTTTCAACCCTTTGCGGAACCCCGGCGTCCGGGTCGGGGTCGTCGCTCGGAGTCGAGCCGGCCATCCTGAGGTCGAGACTTATATCTGATCCTTGTCAGAATAATCAATCGAATGTCGGCGGAATCGACGAAGGGCTGGCGGTAGAAAGAGTCGCATCCTCTGATCTATAGTGGCATGCCTTGACCCAGAAGCAATCGTACCGCCCGGAAACTCATTTAAGGGTGAGACTAGCGCGCTGTTTCACTCTCTCGGTGACTGCACTAACTCACACCACAGATACAGCGGCAGCAAACTATTGCGACGACCGATTGCAACGAGTCGTTATTTCACAATTTTCACGAGTGCCGAGTCGACGTGAACTCGCCGGAAGCTCCAGTGGGCGTGCATCGGTCCTCGTATGCGAGCCATCATGACTCTCAAGTAGGATCAATCGATTGTTTGACGAACTCTCCTTACGTGCAGCCTGTTCGGTTCTCCGTTGCCTTGCCGCTGCCATCTGACGAGATGACGAGACGTAGACGGCTGTGACACTTCGTCAAGGAGGAAAGTTCGCCCACGTACATCGCGCGAACGTTCGCCCAAAAATTATTCAACGGTCGAAAGGAGCGCGTCGGGGGAATTCAACGTGAAAAAATCACAACCACCAAAAAACAGCTCGTGCTCAAGACTGTCCCTTATGTGAAAATGCCTTATCCTCTGAGTGCGCGACTGGTCACGATTCGGACGACGATCCGACCGGAGTTGCCGGATCGGATCAAAGAAGGTAAGCACTTTCGGGGGCAGATTCGTGGGAGCATCCCTCGTTGGTCAATCCAAGGGAGACGGGGAGACTTTCAGAAACAGCAAGATCAGACGCGCATATGCCCCCCAGTAGCAGGGCTCGCGAATCACTCCGCGGTGTGACGATCTTGAGAATTCAGTGTCGTTCTCTGGCGGCCACGGTTGAGAGAATGACTTCCCGGGCCGCAAGCGCGATGGCGCTTGCTGGAAGTCAAACGGCATGAGCTTGAACATGCTCTGTCAGTTTTCAGTGTTGGCGCTGCTTCCAATACGGCTTCCTTGCTCGGAATGTTCCACGCCGAACACGAATCCTCGGTGAACCTCTAGGTTTCCGGAGCTGAAATCCTTTCCGGACACTCCCTTGCAGCGTCAGCCTCCGAGCAGTTCGGTGATTCCCCCTGGAAAAGCGACCTCTGTAAGCGACCTCACGAGGCCGCGGCGACGTTCCCTGGCCCTGATGTTGACCGAAAACATGTGTTCCGCGTGTCTCTGTCATCGATTGGCGCTCTCCATGGCATTAGCCGAACGCTTGGTATCCGCCATAACAGTATGGATCGAGGCTCAGAAAGAGTGTGTTTGTGAGGAAGCCGAGGCCCTGCAAACCGGTGGTTGGAGAGAATTCGGATTCACTGCGGCCGTTTAGATTGCCGGACCGGAGCTGTTCTTCCGGAACGAGGTAAGAAAGGTTGCGGAGTAGGACTTCCACCCAAGCCTCCGGCCTCCATCGTTCTCGGATCGGAGTTTGACAGCGTACCACCACCCGTCACTTGCCGCGGGACTCACGGAATTTCGCGCGTCCTCGCATTTTTCTCTGAAACCCTCTGGAAGCGTCCTCTCGTCGTCGCACTCAGCGAGCGAAGGGGTTGAGTTATGGGTTTGAACTCCGGAACATTTGTTTCGAGCGCAGTTTCGTTCGATTGACAGATTGCTTTTTATTATTCTTTCGACGGTGGTGGTGGTGGCGGTGCTCGTTGACGGAGGAAAGGAGGGCGCCTCTTTATTCAGAGGCTGCTCTTTCTTTCCTAGGCTCGACTCAGAGCTGAGTCACCGGAGGCGCCGCGGAGAATACGCACGAAGCTCCTGTTCATTTCAAGGAGGAAAAAAGTCGTGGAATGTGATCGTGATACGCTCGGTCCCCGCTCGGCAAAGGTAGAGGAATCAGTTGGTGTCTTTCGGAAGTTCGTGTTTATTGCGCTCGCTGGCAGACTCCGATATCATCGTTAGGAATTTGGAAGATGATCCGCTATTGCGATATGCGAATGCCGATTATTGAGAGAGATCGCTCGAATCCGCTATTCTCGCTGTGGATATTAGATACTCGAGCAAGGATACACGGGACTCTGGGAATTGTTTCCATGGCGACCGACATCCCATTCTCCTGACTGAGGGCAACGAACTCCTGCAGCGCCTGTTTTTTTAACCTTTTTTGCTGTTAGGCAGATTCATCTAACTCGCACGAAGCTTCTCTCTGACTCGATCGGAAGCGAATCGAACAGTATTGTTCCCCACCCAAACCAGTTTCAGCGCGAGAAGATTCCGCTCGTCTTCGGTGGAGCCCGTCGATGTATGCTTCGACGTCAGCTCTCCGGGACTCATTTTCGTTGTGGTGTGTGGCTACCTTCGGGGCGACAATCCGAGCACAATAGCGCTTCATGATTCAAGTGAGCAAGGCAGAATCAGATTCTTAGTTGAGTCAGACATATGTTTATGTTCCGGGAATTATTTCAAGCGCGCGACGCACCACGCCGGCTCCCTCGGACCGGACTGCCTGAGTGAGCTTTGCGGATTATAAATAATCGGAGCGAAATACGGTTCCCCGAAGGATTCGATCATTCCACGTACCGGATCGAGGACGTATGGAGCTATCACATTCTACGAAAGTTTTCGCTCTGCTTCCAGGGCTAGAACGAGTTTTCCAAGAGTCGTCACCGAACCAATTCAAACTTTGCTCTTTCGAGAATCTCATAGCGTCCTTAGAGCGACGATTTCCATCGATATTCTCCGTTCCATACTTCAAGGAGGTGCTGAGCGTGAGACTGCAGAGAGTCGCCACTTGTAACGAGGGTGAGTATAAGCTGAAATACCGAGGCTCCGCTCTCAACCAAAGTCTCATCCTTAAGCCAATCATGCTGACCGGGGACAGATCTTGTGCTTTTGAGAGTTCCTACCAATAAGTTCGTATCACAGTAGCATCGATGATCGATCTCGCTCGGGACATACAAATATTTCATTCCGACACATCATCTGATTGCTCGATCAATAATTAATCATCGGAAGTCCAGGGGAATCTAATGCATGCTCTGCCCCATGCAGGATTACTGTGTCTCGACGATTTCATCACAGTCATGACAGAGTCACTGACTAACGATACAACCAATTGGGGAGGCATGAAGACCCCCATCGCCGGTCTCATTGGGCTCTCGAACCTACCGGATCAAATCACCACGAAGCTCTTGAAGAGAGGATTCGACCTCAATGTGATGCTCGTCGGAAGGAGCGGACTTGGCAAAAGCACTCTCGTTGATACACTCTTCAAAGCAAAGGTTCGTTCGTGGTGCAACCTATGAGCTTATAGCTTGTACAATACACCATGATTATGTCGCAGAGTGTGCGTCGTTCCCGTGGGCACGTCGCGAGACCGCCTCGGTAGCGCAGTAGGTAGCGCGTCAGTCTCATAATCTGAAGGTCGTGAGTTCGATCCTCACCCGGGGCAAGGCGGCCTTATTTTTAATTCTCATTCCGATAGGAATTCGATCTTGAAGGATTCTGGGAAGCGGGGTGAGGTTGCAAGTAACCTTATATGGCCGCTGATACTTCTCGGTGTTTTTTCGCGCGGAGATTCCGCGGTGAGACAATATGGGATCTTTCCTGTCTATGAGTCTCCAGTGTCCAGGTGGCTCCCGGGTTGTTCGGTTGGACGATCGGGCCGCCATCGGTGCTGCTCGAATGAAGCGGCATATTGGACCTGGGACATCGGACTCGCTCAAAAAGATTTTGTTTCCGATTTCCGCTCCGATGTTCCGAGTCCTCAGGGCGCCACATGGTTTCGAATGTCGATTCCGGGACCCTCTGCGGATGATACAATGCCCGAAACTCAACTTCATAGTGGGGGAAGGCAACACAGGAGGCGAACGTTCTCGGAAAAACGAGGAATCTCGAGAAGCCTCGATGGTTCTCGTCACATGCAGGCAGGAGATTCCGAATCCGACGGATTCTGCCGGTGCTCCTCCGTTGAGTCCGCTGACGATTGACATCGTTTTTGCGCGACTTGATAGTGTTCAAACTGGGTCTCTCGCTGAGGAACTCACGGAGCGCAGTAGAATGAATCGCAGCTCTATATTCAGTTTATGCTCCATGATCCGGGACTTCTATTGTGAAACTCGGATTCGACGTCCGAATGCAAGAAGGTTGAGTTCTCAGAATTCCTCTATTTCAGGTTTCGAGACGCTCTTCGCAGAAATCGCAAGACTCGGAAGCTTTGCCAAAAACCACTGAAATTCATGCGGTCACCCACGTTCTGGAGGAGCAGAACGTGAAGGTGCGACTGACCGTCACCGATACCCCAGGCTATGGTGACCAGCTCAACAATCAGAATTGTTGGGTGCGCATACCTCGTAACTATTAGGGAGACCAGCTGATCTCGAGAGCCTTGATGTATCGAAGACATCCATACTTAGTCTGGCCGATACCTGTGATAATATCTAGATTGACTTCTCTCTCCTGCAGGTTCCCATAATGCAACACATTTCGGAGCAGTACGAGCGATACTTGATCGAGGAACGCGCCGTTGTCCGCAAGAGGTTTTTACCAGATTCACGTATCCACGTGATAATCTATTTCATTGAGGTGAGTCGAACCGTTGCGATCCGCAGGTCGGAGCGCATGGGTTTCCCCACAACTGACCGAAAATTAGCATGGACCCGAAGCTTTGATATCGAGCCTCATTTTGGTTCTCAATTCCTATCCGCAGCCGACAGGACATCGTCTGTCAAACCTCGACGTGGAGTGTCTCCGACGTCTCACCAGAGTCGCCAACGTGATTCCCGTGATTGCTAAGAGCGACACCCTCACGGTTGAAGAGCGCGCTCTTTTCAAGCACAATATTTGTGAAGACCTTCTCCGTAACCAAATTCAGGTACGCAAGGAAGCATGTAGAGATGAAGAGCGGACTCCTCTCCAAGATACCGCCACTCAGTTAGAATATCCCGTCTCTAGGTCTACGGAGGCGATGAAGAAGAAGGAGGTGTGAGCTGCAAGGATATTGTGCCATTCTGCGTCGTCGGCTCGACCAGTCAACACGAAGTCGGTGGAAAACTGCTTTTCGGGAGAGCCACTCGCTGGGGAGTCGTCGAGTGCGAGAACAAAGCTCACTGTGAATTCACACAGCTCAGAGATCTCTTGATCAAGTGAGTTTAGATGACGAAAGACTATCGGGATCATTCTCTTCGTTTCCCAATCGTCTTATCAGCCTCCTTGTTCGATCCTATCGGAATTTCACCACTCGGGAGCTCCTCAGCGGACCGATCGGTAATCAGGAGGTTCAAATAGATCAGGAGTCGACTCCGCTGCGGCTTATCCGAGCGGCTCTGCACGAGGTTGTCGGGAGATCGGTGTCCTCGCGAGCAATCAAAGGGCAGCACCTCGCCTTATCGGGAGCAGGCTTCCACGAAACGAAGTTTCTACAAAGCTCTCTCAGTATGTGTGTCGGGTGTTAATAGATGTCTCATTCCGTCGGCGGCGAGTAATTTCGGCTCGTCATTACAAGCTCATCTTTCATTTAGGAATTTTTCTTGTCGGATTTCAAAAAAGTCGATCTTATCGCATAATGGGGCAGAAGTGTCTCCTGTCCCGTTGGAAGGTCTTTCTTCCGTAATTGCGAAGTTGCTCATTAAAAGATGATCGTTAAATGTTATGAGCGTTTCACGAAACTCCTTACTCCTTTTTGTCGGGTTTCGACTAAGAGATGGGATGGGGAGACCTTACGAGAGGGCTTGACCCGTGAGTGTCTATTCTCGAGTCCGGTGTCCATCGAGAGAACTGTTGGAAGCAAGTTCTTCTTTTTCCCCATTAGTCCGACGATAACACAAGTTGGACGCTCCTCTGTGCTCCTATATATCAGGCCACGATGTGCAGCCAGACAGGTGCTTCGCCGAGCGGTACGTTCATGAAAAAGAATAAGCAGAAAAATTGGTGCTCGTTCTTCGACACATTGATCGTCGATTAAAAAGAAGAGCGCTGTCGAAGGATCGGTGACAAGAGATTCGCGGAAGATTGCTCGTAGAGTAGAGATTGATTGAATTCAAGAGCGACTGGATGCGACACGAAAACGGATAGGAATCAATTTTTCACACCACTTTTATCCGTCAATGAGCGATGCGTTCGAATTAGTACCGTTCGAGCGAGCGATTCGAAGCGCTGAAATTTTCCAAGTCACGGTGATCCTTCAAATTTATATGCAAAGCCGCTGAAAGAAGGAATCAACGACGTGCTTTGAGGCTTTATCGTTAAATATGTGCCTTGCCGCCTTCTTACCTGTCCGTCTCTTCGACCGTTTCTCCTCAGCCCGACCACTTCTATTCGGGGACGATTTTGACGAACCGACGAAGGTTGTACGTCGGCTTTCCCAGACGGAAACTATGAGGACATCGATGCTGGAATTCCTCTCTGACGATCGCTGGTGGGAATCCTACGTCGAGCGAAGCGACGATCGGTCGAACTCGAGCTGTTGACCTTCCAGAGAAATGGAGCCGGGAATGAAAAACGCTCCGGGATTACTCTTCGATAAGTTTTGACGGCTCAACTCGATTGGAGGTCTCCCGCAATAGCAACAAACATATCGCGCCGGTGGCTCGGCCGTGAATATGAAGAACCACGAATATTATCATGCGTCCACATCTTAATCTGTTTATTTATACGGGGCGCGAGAAGATCCATTTAGAAAAATGAAGGGCTATTCCCTGTCGCCTAATGAAGTCATATTTCACAGACAGCAAGCTGTGTAAATACCGTCAGGAGCAGTCGACTTATTTTGGATCGAAGGGGGACAGAAAGAAAAAAAACAGCCGCTGCCGCTACAATAATTCTTCCTCTTCAAATTCTTGACCCTCGGTAATAGATGGAACGGATAGTCAAGCTCTTGTTCGTCAAACGCCTGAGCTGATTCACCCGAGCCATGGATTGGGGATCGTTCGATTCGGAAACGGGAACTGTCCCGGGGTTTCCCGGGAGATGGAGCATTCGCGATCTCAATCTCGCAATTTGGATCGCATTCTCTCTCAACATGGAAAGCACGGGTGAAATAGACGGGTGAGCTGCCTCCAACTCAATTGACGGGTGGAGTGGACAGCTTTCCCTCGACAGAGAAAATGCAAATAAGGATAAATGCTTTGTTTCCAAAACGGACGTTCCCGCTCTTGCGACCACCGACGATCAGGCGGTTTGTGAGCTATGTCCCGCCGTTAATTAGCCCTGTGTGTTAATGAGCCTATTGATTGATATCGGAATTTCCGAGGGGAAGGCAGCCGAATGTTGACAGGTTTTCCAGAGTTTGTGTGGCGTCTCTTTCAATTCCTGATACCGGAGGCGAATCAACGGGCTGAATTATAACCATTATTATTCGCGGGGAGCTGGCCTACTCGACCGTATTAATCTAATGAACCGGCTTTCGGATCCAGTACAGTGCCCACCACGTTTTATGCCTCGTGGACATGATCAACGGCTGTTAGCCGAGTCAATGGTACATGTAGTCGACAGGAGAAAGGATCGTAGAGCGCTCCTATATGTATATCGGATCCGACGACTAAGCGGCGATCATTTCCAGGACCAACATGGGCGATCTTGTGGAGAAAACGCACTGTGTTCACTATGAAAATTTCCGCCATCAGAGACTGAAGAGCGGAGAACCGGTTCTCAAGATGCACCACAACGGGAATTCATTGGACCACTGCAACGAATCGACTCTCTAATAAACCACTACGTACGTTCAGTGAGACATCTGTATTGATGAAGCTTGCTCAAGCAGAGGAACTCCGGGTAGTTCCACGATCCCGTCGGTGCATATTCCCCTTGTGTATTCTCAATTTACGCTCAAATCAATGGGACCTTCTGATGGACTTGTTTCTGTGCTCGGAGCCGCCTAGAGAGACATCAAAATCCTTAAGAAGAAAAACGGCTCATGGGTTGCCGATGAGCTCCACGAGGTGGTATCCTAGTTACCGAACTTCCATTGGAATGATTTATCGAGAAATATTTCGATGTGCCATTCACTGAAGCAACAACTCGATCCGATTAGACAATACTACATTTAATGTCGTCTGAGGGGATAGCATCCACGTCGCTTCTCGCTCGAATATGACTATTACGAATCTAACTGAAGAGCTTTGGATGTGTATCCAAGAGCCCCGTAAGAGATGATTTCCTTGACGATGAAAAGTATCAAGAGACGCATCCGGACTGAACGCTCACTTGGAGCTACTTTGTATCTATCAATCTACCTTGTCTTAGTATCTTATTCCTCAGATCATGATGATAATCGAAGTGCTGCCAGAGCGGAAAGGATCGATCACCGTGCTCCGAAACGGGTGCCTAATAATACGAAACTCAGTCGAGCTTCGAGCCCAATTTCAATTCATTGACCGTTCTCGAGTAAGATCGATTTGAGGAAAAAGCGAGGCAATCGAGTTTAGGCTCATTGTTTCCTTGGGCGACATTCTACCCTAGGAAACCTGGGCCTGCAGGGGGCTCGAGGCCAAAGTATGTTAGTTCTGACGCGCCTCCATTGGGCTATTCCTCAATTTCTACGATACGAGGGGCAACGGCAGGAAGAAAATGCTCCCTCGACCCCCTGGCTCCACGAAGTTTCGGAAACCCACCGCCCGCCTCTGCCAGCAGATCCCGTTTTCTAAGACGGGCAATTCACGCAGAAATGATAGTATCTTTGGGGGCAAGACCAGAAATGGGAGAGATGAACCGATGGGGCTGCCCTCTGTGGGACAGCGCGATTAGTGGAGGAGAAAAAAGCGAGAAAAGGAAAAAAAAGATCTCAATAAAGCAGACGATGATGACTGTCGAACATCTTTGACTTCTCCTTAACGTAGAGCCACGCAGACCCGCTGTGGCCAGCTACCTAGTACTTCTATTACCGAGGATCACGCATCGGGCTCTACCGAGTCACATACTCTTGGGCACGCAGACACATCAGCTGAGCTGGAGATAAACTAACGAGCAGGCAGACGTCAAGGACCTGCCCCTTATGTTTAACGGACGTCTCAGCATTAGTGGAGACGGATTCCGTGCGCATCGATGTCGACAGAATTGGCAACGAGCGTTCATAATGGAGTGGGAGGGACCTTAATCGGGATCATCTTTCGAAATATCACAGGGAGTGAAGAACACCTGAGTTGTTTCAAAAGATCTCAGGGAAAAACCTCAGCGCCTCCGTCTCCGGACATCACGGTTCTCCGTTCAATGTCTTACTGACTCAGGCTACGCAGTCTGAAGCAGCCGAGAGCGGAGGAGAAACTGCGTTTTCCCAAGGCGACGGTGCCTTTGGTTAGAATATGTTATTTGCAGACGTTGACGTCTTAACCCGTCAACGTATTCTGTTTTCAATATGAAAATGAGGTATTACCGATGATGCTGTAGCCGCTACCTCCGTCCACAACGTCAACAGCTCGAAGACGCCGGAGACGATGCACGGTCGCCACGTCAGTTCGATTCGAGCTCACTAGTAGTTTGATTCCAAGGATAATGTTGAATGCTTTAGTCTCAGAAGCGTTCGTGCCCGATGAAAGATTCGAACTGATTTGCTGTCTGTCATGTTCGGTGTGCATTTCAGTCGGAGCATCCGTGACGAGCCGTTTGGCTTGTGGCGGGCTGGCTGGTCTCTCGTCCCACTGTCTGTCTGTGCCTCGGTATGCGGACGATTGTTTGATTGAGGAATAGATGAATGGATGAATTGATGGATGCGCGAGCAAGGAGGTAGACAGACCGTTGCTCGGTGCACAGATCGACAGAAAGCTGTGGAAATGTTCCGGAGAAGGAGTCTGAAAGAATATCTCGGGAGATGGAATGTGTGGCCGTGGCCCAGTGGTGTCTCTGCATGTCTCAATCCATGACAGACGGGTGCCAGTTGTCCCGATCAGGCGACGGCGGCCAGCGAGCTTGGAAAAGGCAAAAGAAAAAGAGATGGAAAACGAGCGACATTCTAATTGGTATCCACCGCCACTGTGTAGCATTCGCAGAGGCGATGCTTCTGGAAGAAGATTCACGGCACCTCTCCTTCGTCATAGACGTTGTCGTCGTTCTCGACTAGTGGACAATCAATGCCGAGAGAATGCCAAGACAGTCGACAGTCCGGCAGTCCGTGGAATTGAGACTTCGGCTCCGAAGCTCGCCTCGGACGATAGGCGCTGGCTGTCGGCAGCTTACTAATTGACACGAAAAGAAGAAGAAATGGGTAACAGGACGATAGATGGTGAATGGAAAAATGGGTGATGACATGCTTGTTTTTCCTTCGATTCTCCGATTTTCTGTGGGTGTTTCGAATGTGCCTGCCGTTCTCGGCCCCACATTTCTGGCGTTTCCCAGAGCTGTATCCGTAGGGAAATCAGTCATTCTATAGAGCTCGATCACCCTTCGTTTTTCGCAACTCGGGAGATCCCTAAGGGACTGCGGGTGGACCCTCTAACCCGGGATGTCGTCCGGAACTTCAAGAAGGATCGCTTGAACACACGAGTAGAGAAATGGAGTTCCCGAGAGCGCCTCCCGGAGCCTATCCATCGTCTCAGTGGGTACCGCAGTCTTCTGAAATTTGGAATGCGCGAAGCAAGAAGATCCAATCACGAGCTGAGACGGCATTGCTTCTCGAAGCGACATCTTCATTCCAGGGGATTAGAATCCTGCGAATCGATGATGTCGTCTCAGACCACCGAATGGGACTGTCGCACAAGATAGCTCCGAAGATAGTCGAATGGATATGTCGAAAACTCGAGCTGCCCGTCGATTGATTGGCAGAGCCAAAAGTAACCCCGGCTAGTCCGAATGGAGCCTGGTGGAAATCACGACCAGAATGAAGGATTCCCTAATGAAAATCGTTCGTTCCCGCTCCTGCTCGACCGTGAAACTGCACATGTTTGATGCTGCTTTCTCACCGGCTCCCGAAACCATAACTGATAAGCAATATCATTATCCTTTCCGAGTGGATCGCCGACAGCATGAGCTTCTCCAGCAACACCACCACCGACGAGAAAACCATCATCATCATCAGAATTTAATTGGTTTATGCTGGCCGACCCGTTACCCGATTGGATATGATCGAATAGAATCCGAACATATCGAGGACAGCGATGGTTCGAAAGAGTTCTGCTACCTCGGACTCGCGTCGTGAAATCTAGGGAGGTACAATGGAGAGATTTTCAGAACGCCCTTTGTTCAATCGAAATGTCTACACGGTTAAAAATCCATATGTTAGGCCTTTATTTTCCGTGGATGCTTATCTCGCTCAAGATGTATACTCCGAGCACTTCGAAACGAAAAACGCTTTTAATTTAAAAAACAATCACGACCGATAAATGCTCGAAACACATAGTCACAGCTTCCGATGTGGATTGAGGCTTCGCGTCGCATTCATGACTGATGACTGACGACACATGCGTCAGGAGTCGGGACGCTTCCGAAATTCTGTTAGAGCTATCTCTAGAAAAATATTAGGAGCCACCGCCGAAGCGCCCCAAAACGCTGACTGCGCTCATGATTGGAATCTCTACCTCAAGAAATGAGCTACCCCGAGACTCAAATCTTGCCTATAAACGGCGGCATCTGAGATACCTCACTCTTGTCTGACCGTGAATTTAGGTGCGCCGACATCCATCTACTGTGAGGGTCATCTCTGGATCAGCGGCTGACATTTCGCGTTATGTCGACTTGCTCCACAACAATTCGCGGCCGAAGGATATTCATTCCCAGATACTCTCGTGCATGATACCGGCAGCTCATGAAGTGCAGGTGTTCACCTCCGGGCGCGTCCCTATTCAGTTGTGTCTGGCTTGTGGACGAACGGCTCCCAGTTCGGAGATACTCGACTTGGATGAGCATGCGAAGGGTGCGAGAAACGGTTGGCGCCTGTGCCCCCATCGCGTCCCAAGACGAGCCCCCCTCTGGTGAACAATCATCAGAGTTCAGCATGGAACTATGCGAAGCTCTCGCATCCGCAGATAGGAGACCTCTGCGTGAGTGAGAAAATGTGAAGTTGCACAACTTCCTACAGAAGTTTTCGCGCGGAACAATGTCAAGCCGGTGTATGGAAATAGAATAGCAATAACTTCGGTTCCCTGAGGTCAATCGCAGAAGCCCTGCGAAGGAGCCCGCCTGCGAGCCTGTTTAACGACCGACGTTGATGCCTCACCTCTGAAACGTCGCAGATGATGCTGGCCATGTTCTATACGATAGTTCTCCAATAGTTCTATACGATTGATGTTAATGAAACACTGCTCAACATTCAATGCTCGTCTCGCTTATCCCTCACGCTCATTTCGCTTATCCTGAACGCTTATTTTGCTTATTTTAATTGCCCATTCTGCTTTTCTCCGAATGCTCGAAAGTACAGGCTTCATGTGTCTCCATGCGACCAAGCCGATCGCGAATCGCGACCTACCGTGACGCGAGAACTTGGCCTGCTCCGATCATTATCCTCTCCCGCAAGACTCATTGCGGAAATTGCAGGTTCTCGAGCGATCCGATACACATCTAAAAGGAGTACATCTGTTGTCGGGGTTCTCGGAGGGAAGTACTTCCCGAAATATGAGACACTTCCCTCATATCGATTCATTCGTTATTTCTCGTCAGAGGTCCTCAATAATAAGAGAAGAATGCGGCCAGAGACATCTGCTGCGTTTTTTCTGTCAATAATGGACAGTTCGTGTAACAATGATACGATCTTGGCTCGCCTCGCCCGCCCTTCGCCCGCTGGTGTGTCCATCTACCGTTGTCGTACCTCCGAATGAGGCTGTCCGATCCGAGTTTGATGCTTCCCGGTGTGTTGAGTCCGAATCATAGTGAGCCTGATGTGAGTTTCCGCGCAGCTGTTCCGCGGAGCTAAGCGACCGCCGTCGTCGGAATGTCGGACTCGAGCGTATCGATCGAACAAAACAGAAAACAACAACAGCTAGACTTTTCACAACAGAGAACTTTCCTTCAGGGCGCACAGATGAATCATTCAGTTAGCCTCTTGACAATTTTCGTCTTTGTCTTGCTCGTAGCGGGAACTTGTCAGACGGAATTCGCGGAATCCGATAACGGAGTCCCAATCGAAGTTCACCGCGGTGTGAAAGAGCAGCGGCTCATGGATATCGTTGTCAAAGTCTTTTCGATTTCCGCGGTCGCGAATCCGCCGAATCAATTTTTCGGCAACGGACTCGTCATCTCAAATGACAGCGCTTCGGCTCCGCCTTTGTTCGGTTGAAATATGCTGTCAAATACTTAATCGGAAAACGACATTCGGAACTACAGCATGACCGTTTCCGTGGAGCATGTGGTTCAGATTTCATCAGGGAACCACTGGAAAGCTTCTCACGAAAGCAAATGAATGAGATTGGGCTATGCATACCTACCTCCTCGTCGAAGAGATTGA